TCATATTATTAGATTCCCCCATAGCCATTCATGTTATACCAAAGTAGTAAGTAACAGATAAACAATTAAATGACAGTAAATTTCCTGTTTACACTTTCTAGTACAGAAATTTCTTCTAAAGTAAAAGAAAAATTTCATCAAGGAACAAAAACTTTATTCTTTTAAATACAGGACAGTCTGGGAGCAGACAGATCTTTTTTCTGTAATTTTGCATCTTTATCATGTAGAAAAACTGAGATGTGCTGTTGAAGTTGCATTTATTTATCTTATATTAACGTTTCTCAGGGATTAAATGTGTAGTTAAACATCTTTACAGTGACAGAAAGTGCAGTTTCATTCATTCATTCAGCCCACTTGAGATCAAAGTGGGCTGTATGTAGCCCTTGATGTAAAATGAGTGTGACCACCAACACATCCCTGCTTCAAATGCCAGCGAACAAAATTCATTGCTGTGTGCAGAAAATGTATTTCACTGTTTGCTATTATCCATATACACACACAATAACAGCCCCTCTCACTCAGTTTTTGCATTTGCTCTTGCTCAGATCTCTGCAGATCTGCTTGCAGTGTGTTGCTCGTACTCTCAATATCTCTGCTCCTGCACGTTCAACTCTTTCTGTACAGCGTTATATTTGTGCCACAAAACCAACCGATCACAGACTTGGATGCAAAAATTCTGAGGCTGTTTTGGTCTCCAATCAGCTTTCTAGCTACTGTAGCCAAACCCAGGCAAATATCCCAGATACTAGTATCCTAGTATCCTAGTTCAATTCTCTTCCTCCAGAGTACTGTCATTTTTTCGAAGCACTAACCTAGCTAGAAGAAATCCTTCTAGCACTAGCTTATTCAGTGACAGAGCAAAACAGCTGAAAACAGTAAGATGTAAATGTACAGCACGGGAAGTATAATGAATGTTGAACAGTGAGTAGCTGAGGAAGTTCCGCTTCGAAGCACAAACACATCAGGATAGCATCAATGCAAATAAAAATAGTCTTTGTCTAGATGGCACAGTTTGATTTATCATTCTCTCACTTAAAATAAATTATGGTCCAATGCATTGACGTCATCAGTGAGCCAGGTGGGAACGCGAGTGAGTGGAGACTGGCATAAACAGTGTGAGAAGAGAGAGCGTAGGTTAGCAATGGCATGCTTCATGTAAACTGCAAAACTGGACTGCAGGAAATAAAGCTGACTTACATATACAAAGACATGAGTAAGAGATAGGCAATGTATCAGCAGTGAATCTCAAACTACTACAGAATGGACAGTGGGTGATTTGGTTTAAGGTT